GCGTGGGCATAAAAAATTTATATTTAATTTTCCTTTGTATTTTTAAGATGTAGAAGAGTACATAGATAACGTGTCTGAAAAATGTGTCAAGTTCACATTAAAGTAACTTCACAGTTACTGAGGAAGACTGTTTTGAAAGATTACAGTTCCCATTGAGAATTAAAGGATGCTAACACCACTTAGAGGAAGACAGAAAACATGTCCTTTATACTCGATGGTATATATGATTGGAGAACTATGAAATCTAAGTTTGACTTCAGTGAACAGAGAAAACTGACTCAAATTCTTTCTTAAATATCTAAAGATTTGAGAACTTTACAAAATTCATCTATTGCTCCAAAATATCAGCAAAGTCGTGTGACTCTGAACATCTGAGGCATCTCTTCAAAGGCAGGTTGTTTGGTTCCCCATCCTTCAGTTCCCTCCGTTAGAGGATGTTTCATCTCATCTCCACATACATGCACATAAGCAGCACACAGAGGCACCCTGGCCACAGGTTTCTACTAAACATGCTGAAGGGACAACTAGAAGAGTAGTTGCCTCTAGTTCTCCAAATCTGAGCATCATCATCACCGCCATCATTGTCATCATTGTCATTATTAGCAGTAGCAGCAGTGTAACCAAAGTACATCATTGTACTGATGTGTTACAGCTTCATGTTATTTTTCTGTTTGTAAAACCTCGTGATGATGAGTTCTGCTTTGACTATATCTTCTCACTAATAATGTGTGTGTTGGACTTTTAGAACAACAAGCTACTCAGTTTCTAACATATGTAAACAACATGTTTTTTAGTGCTTGTCTGAACAACACATTTGAATTGCTACACAACTTTCCCTAAGCTGAGATTCCTGATTGCTTTTATTTTCTGTCTGCTTTACCACAAAGAAAAACGATTACAATTCCTTGGGTTAGCCGAAGGTACCATTTCAAAGACAGCATCATTACAGACATCCATTGTCATCATAACATTTATGACCAGTTTCCTGGGGCCATGGTTCTAGAACTTTTAGAGGAACAGTGTAACTCTTGGACTTTCCCCCTCTAAAGTGTGGTAGCTAGTGAGGCAGAAAAGGAAGTCCTTGGAAACACTGAGCCAGTCCATCCTCAGCCTCCCTATTTTCTGTTCCATCAGACTGTCTCTTGACTGACAGTCCTGTAGTAAACATTTTGAGGATAATTTGTGCCTAGAAGGTTGAAAGTGAATTGTGAAAAGAATAAAAAAGCTTCATACAAAACCAAAAATATTTTGCATGTCCCACATGCAAAAGTAACTAAATGGTTGTGCTCATTTTGTAGCACCAAAGTTGATGGCCACTTTCTAAGGTGAAAGCCATTTTTTGGAAGCATTGGGCTCCAGCAATGCCAAATTGTATCTGTAGGAAGTCATGTCCAGGATGCACATGGATACCAAAATCTGTGGATGCCCTAGACCCATGTGGAAGATGATGCAGTGTTTGTCTGCATTCTGTCACATCCTCAGATATAGTTCATACACCTTACAATACTTAATATCACTTACGACACTTAGTATAACCCCTGGCCTTAATTAGTACAATGGGGAAACAACATAAATTGTTATGCTGACTTTTTTTTGGAGAAAAACAATGAGAGATCCTCCTATTGCGTGGGAATCAAGATTCACTAGACTCAGTACAGGTTAAGTGAAGTTTATTCAGGGAGAATGCACTCATACAAGAACTGGGTAACTGCCGCAAGTTCCAGCTCCAAGGACTCACCCAGGCTGCCCTCTGTCACCCGACCAGAAGCAAGAGAGCCACAGTCACCTGTCCTAATCCCAGACCTAAACCCACCCCGTCATGTCTGCACCCATGACCATGCCCGCTACAGGTGCTGGTGGGGTGGGTATCTCACAATAGTTCCCCTTTTAATCTAAAGAAAAGATTTAGGCTTGATACAAAACTATATACAAAAATAACAAATACCAAGTGTGCTCTAGGAGAAGGAAAAGTAAGAACAAATACACTTAAGACCGATTGCCAGTGAGGCAGCTAGAGCAAAAGGCAAGATCTACAAGATCCTTCACTGTGTTGATACAAACAGTTTAAAGTGATTGTTTTGGTTGTGTTCGTGAGGTGGAGGCCATGGATACCGAAGGTTGATTGTGACAATACCATGCAGAAAAGGAAGTCCTTGTTAACTGCAACCAGTGAAAGATCAAGCTGCAGGGCCCTCCATCATATCATTGAAACAAAGGTGAACATTTTGCCTGGCAGGCAGGATTCTATAAGCCAAGCATGCATAAGGATAAGGGGATACTCCAAGGCCACAGAAACAGGGAATTCTGATCTGCACTCTCGCTGTCACAGGCGAGAATCTCCTTTGGAGGCTATTAACACAGCTTGAGGAGCAGCTCTCTCTGCAACCACGATGCAGCAGCCCCATTTAACATTCTTGTCTAGTGAAACAGCACAGGCCCTTGTGCCTGTTTCTAAATGCACATTTTTAATATTCAATATAATGCTACTCTTTAACAAACCCTTTACTCCCTGCCTCTCTGATGGAGCTCCCGGGGTCTTTAAAGGGATTGTTAACCCAAGAATGGATCGCACTCTTTCTGCATGAGCAGGCCCAGAACCAGCCCATTAAGCCTCCCGTCTTTACTCTGGCAGTGTCGCCCTCACCTCTGAGGAGATGTGCCAGCTGCTGGGTGATGAGCTCGGGGGCCTCGCGCAGGAGCTCCTTCAGCACCAGCGAGGAAGAAGACTCAGGCAACCCCAGCTCGCCATCGCTCTGCTCATCGGGGTTAATGACTCTGACAACCGCCGCTTCCAAACTTCTGTCCTCACTAGAAAATGAACGGAGAGGAAGAGAAAGAGATAAGGCATGTTTTCCCACTTTCGGGGATGATTCAGTCTCTACTACCACATGAATAATAATTTTCCCTAAATGGCCCAAAACATAAATTCTCATGAAAGATTAGCACCTGGAGAGTTGGCTAAGATGCTTGCAGAGTAAGTAGAAGGACCTGAGTTCAAATCCCCAGAACCCATGTAAAAGCCCGATGTACTCCTCTTTGTTGTAATCACTCCAGCACCACAATGGGGTCGGTGGGGAGCAGCTGAGGCTTATTGGTCACTAGTCTAGCCAGTCAGTGAGCACCAGGTTCACTCATTAGCCTTCTCTTAAAAGATGAGATGCAAGGAAGACTTCTCTGGCCTGTATGAGTTTTTACCCCTTTACGTGGGTGCCGGTATATACACACACACACACACACACACACACACACACACACACACACCACCCACACCCGCACACACACACCCACACACACACTCATACACACGCAATCACATCCACATACACAGAAGCATATACACATAATCACATACATACATACATATTCTCTCTCTCTCTCTCTCTCTCTCTCTCTCTCTCTCTCTCTCTCTCTCTCTCTCTCTCTCTCTCTCTCTCTCTCTCTCTCTCTCTCTCTCTCTCTCTCTCTCTCTCTCTCTCTCACACACACACACACACAGAGAGGGGATAACAGGACCTTACTCTGTATCTCTTCCTATGTTATTTCCATTCATTACTCCTCCAGAATTCCTGGAGTATTTTCTTACCTCTATAGTAGCTACTATTTAGAAACACTGTAGCTATGTTCAGACCCTATGAGATGGGTTCTAGTAAGATCTTACTTTCATAAATGGGGAAACTGAGGCACAACGGGGCTAAGGAATGTGTTCATGGTCAGGTGACCAGAGAGTGGAGCACATGGCTTTTGGCTGACAATCTAACTCCAGTACCTGCTCAGAATAGTCACTGAAGTTCAGGAAAAAAACCACCACTAGGCCTGTGACAGCTTCACTATGATTTTTTAAAACTCAGACTGTTAATTAAATAATTAATTAAAATTTGTACTTTTTTATCTTTGGAGTGCCAAAGATTAATTTTTCAGGACCTGTGCCTGCTAGACAAGTGTTCTGTCACTGGGCCATCCCTCACCCCTTACCAAATTCATATATATATATTAGAGGTGGATTTTTCAAAATCAGGCAGATACAGATAAAACGTTTTTTCTTACTATTCGAGAACAAATGAGTAACAGTAAAGAAGGCTGGCTCTCTATTTTCTATGGAATATTCCATTTACAATCGTAAGTCTAAAGATTATAACCTCAGTCTCAAACTCAAGCCTAACAGTTTCTATTTTAAGTGGTGACAAACTTCTCTCTTAACCTCGTGTTGTCATGTTCTCCTTACTCATGTGTGTTGTATGAGTTGTCCTGAAAAAGTTAGACATACCTTTAGCCAAGTGTGTGATAATTACGAACACCAAGGCTATCTGTGGTTTGGGGACTGAGTTGCCTCCAAAGGTTCACTTGTGCAGGGTGGTACCCATGGTGGAAACACTGGATGATGCTGACAGCTTCAAGAGGTGTTGCCTGGCAGCAATCCTTAGATCACTGGAGACATGCCCTCACATGGGGTTGGGTGATTCTAGTTTTTAGTTTCTGCCCTGATTTGAGGTGTGACTGTTTTGTTCTTACTCATAATATACCATTATCACCACTGTCCTCTCTTGGTGACCTGATCTGAGTGTTGACTCTCCAGAGTCATGAGAAAGATAAACCTCTTCTTTTTTCTTTGGTAGCTGTGTCAGGTGCTTCATTACAGTGATAGAAAGCTGGCAAATACAACTGATAACCGAAAGTCAGTCCAAAATCTCACCCAAAACTTCCAGCCTCTTCTCAACAAATGATTGATAAATATTTTTTTCAGAAGACTTCCATTTGTTTCAAACAGCAAAGGGATGGAAGTAGCCCACAGACTATTTTCCAACCACCTTGTAACCATTTTTATAACTGATAACTGCCTCGGTATACTTTAATCCATATGTAAGTATGTGTCCTAAAAACTGATTACATTAAAAAATAGTTAAATATGAAGGCCTTACTTCAAGTATTCTAAGGTCAAGGTTAATTAGTTTTGGTTATCAAAAATAGGAAAATGTGCAAACTAAGAGGAATGAGCACTTCAAGCTGTAGGCTGTTTAGCTGATGTCCCATCATTCAATAGCAGTAGGGAGTGGATCACAGAGGCACCTCTGTAGTCACGTGTAGGTAGGGATTCTATCTTATTCCTCTTCCTTTATCTCCGATCTTCGCCCAGCCAGCAGGCAGACAGGCCAAGTTCTCATTTGAGCTCTCCACTGAGTGTACAAGGCTCCTGGGCAAAGTCATTTGTGACACTGGACTCTACATTTCCTGTCTATGGTATGAGGTGACTGAACTATTGGGGCTGTCAACAGGCTGTTCTTCTATACCTTATAAAAGGAAAACCACTGACCAAGTGGCCCATTTCCTGGCTTCCCCTTTTCTCTATGAGATTTCTTTAGAACCTATCTCTTTTATCTGGTTTCAACTTGTGTTACTTATTTTCAACATCAATACATAGGATTATTGTGACACTGTAAGGAAATAGTATTTTGGTAAATTTTAAAGAATATTCTACTTAAAGATAACACATTTGAAAAATCAAAGTAAAAATGGAGAACTGACATAGACCCGATTTCATCAATAAAGAAAAAAAATTACTCCTTTTCCTATGAAGTTTTTTTTTTTTTTTACTTTTAAAACAATAATAAGGGGCAGCTGACTCAAAAGTCTTCACTTGGGACAAAGCGCAGAGCCTCACGGTGTATCTTACCTCCCCAGGACGTGGCTGCCCACAAGCGTTATGGACAGTTTTCCTTCATCGTTCAGCTGATGCAGGTTAATTTCATCTCGGAATATGTGGGATGATTCAGAGATGTTCAGCTCTTCTAAAATAAACCTTGTCTCTGTGAAGTAGCTGAATTCAGTTCTTGGGATGTTCATCACTGGCAAGCAGAGGACCCCAGGTGGACTGACCTACAGAAGGAGAAGTTAAGTCAGCCTCTGGAAGCAGCAGTTTTCCTCCAGCTTGAAGCTAATTGCTAAAGAGGGTATAAGTCTTTGGGCCACAAATAAACCTTGTGACAATCAAAATGAATCTCCCCAAGCCCAATTACAGAGCACTTTCCACTAGTAAGTAGACCCTGGTGTTATATTACTAAATTATTATTAGATTATTTATTTATTTATTTATGTGTATGTGTGCGCGTGCGTGCGTGTGTGTGTGTGTGTGTGTGTGTGTGTGTGTGTGTGTGTGTGTTTACATGCCACTGCACACATGTGGAGATCAGAGAATAACTACCATGAGTCAGTTCTCTCCTCGAACCATGTGGGTCCTGGGAAACAGACAGGTGGTCAAGACTGGCAGCAACTACCTTTACCTGTTGAACCATTTCACCAGCCCAGCCATGATGCTCTCTTAACTTCTTTTTTTTTACTTTACCTGAGATTTCACAGGCAAGCCTTACTGGGAACATTTAGGCCTAACTTCAAACCTTCTACAATTTAAAAAAATGTATGCATGTACGCAGACATATACATGTATATACATACATATACATGCACACACATACATATACACAGTCTCCTCTTTATAAGTAGCAAACACATGCCCTTAAGGAATTGACAAAAAAAATCAATAATTAGGACAGACTGAGGTGACATAAGAAGGTAGATCTGTCCTCATCAAAATGGAATACTTACAACCTGGGTATAGTTAATAGCCCAAGTCTAGTATAGTTAAATCTTCTATTTCCTCAAGGTTTTCTGGAAAACTGTGTTGAAGTATGGTTTGTGACATGGGATTGTGCCACTTTATTTAAATTTATTTTGATTTCATATGCATTGGTGTTTTGCCTGTATGTGCGACTGTGTGAAGATGCTGGATCCCCTGGAACTGGAGTTAGACGGTCGTGAGCTGCCCTGTGGGTGCTGTGAATTGACCCCTGGTCCTCTGAAAGAGCAGCCAGTGCTCTTCACTGCTGAGTTATCTCTCCAACCCTGACTGTGACATTTGTTATTTACTTGGGAGTCAGGTTTAGCACACATATTAGTAGATTATAACCTATACTGAAATTATACACACACACACACACACACACACACACACACAATA